GTTTTAAATAAGTGAGACGAACCGAATGTGACAGATGATACGACATGGAACAAGAGAACTGATCGAGGCCATCTGGGGGAAAAAAACCCCAAAAACGGCTGCCAGTGGTTCTGGGACCGAAGAGCTCATGAGGACAAAGACAGAGGAGGATGAAGGGAAAGACGGAAGAAAAGACAGAGTGGAGACACGGTGCTGGCATTTAATAGCAGCCTGTCACAGCGGGACGCACAAGTCAGCCAGCAGAAACACTGTGGACGAGTCTTGGTGAGAGTGTGTGCAGGCTGATGTGCTGGAGCTGGTCTGTGCAGGCTGATGTGCTGGAGCTGGTCTGTGCAGGCTGATGTGCTGGAGCTGGTCTGTGCAGGCTGATGTGCTGGAGCTGGTCTCCAGAGCTAATAGCAGCGTTGCAGTCAGCAGGGAGCGAAGCCTAATTGTCGACTCTCATTCAAAAGTCACCTTCATCATCTCTTCTTGTCTCCTGACCCTTGTTACAACGAAGCCGTTTGATTTTTGTTCTCCTTTACATTAGCTTGTCTTGTTTTCCATTCTCCATTGATTTTAGTTGTTGTTACAGTAATTCATTCTGACTATTATTTCTCAGGCTTACCTTCTGAGTCTCCTGAGTCTATGATCAAAACTAACATCTCAAACCAGCCTTGTGTTATTCACTCAGTACTTATTCATGCGTGATTTTAATTGCTTCTTATTTCATGGAAACAACACAATTGCAAAATTGTGGGGTTTATTCGACAGCAGCTGCTTTTCCACTGACCGTATATTTGCGCAATTTAACATTTCAAAAGTGAATTTGTTGAACTGAAACTTGCCAATTTGGAGAAAACTGTTGCTTTTTTTGTTACGTTTTTGGGCGTGTCAACATTCAACTATGTCGAACGTTTGAAATTCCCTGTTTTTTATTTCTGTCTGTTTTTTATGTTTCAGCTCGTGAGAGGGAGGCTGGGAATACTTTACAGAAACATACATTATTTTTGTTTTATGGTTAAAAGAATTGCAGCTTTAAAGGGAGGTTAAGAAAAACATGGTTAATCCATGTAATTATTGGACAGGATGGGCCATACTTTCATTTCTTTATGCAGTCACATTTATGACGCCACATAACTCATCCTTACTTAGCAGGAGAAACCCCTGAGTATGATGAATAAGTGGAGATTTCTCTACAACATCAGGGCTTTTTGACTGAAATGACTTGCATTAAAGCATCACATTCACAACCCTATAATCCCTCCTCTCCATTTACCAGGACCGTTGAGGCATCTGTATAATGATTCCACAAATCATAAAGGAGATGCTGCTGTAGACATTAGTCACAGCTAACTCTGATTTATAGCTCCAAGTGGTGACAGTGGAAGAAACAGACCCAAGGAGAAAAAGGCTGGACTGTTTGCAGAAGCAAATCAATGGAAAATTCATCTGAAAGAGAAAAGCTCTCAACTTGTGGTTTACACCCTTTTAATCTGTTGCCTGTAAAGTATTTGCAGCGTTTATTAGTTGGAAAATAATCATTTACTTTAGCTGGAGTTGCCTTTATTACACTTTGGCCTAATAAAAGAAGCACATTTTTGCTCTGTAGGGGAAGCATTGATCAAAATGAAATTTTTGGTGCACAGTCGCAATCTTTTCTTCAGCGATATAATTACTTTCTGTGCTTCTTTCTCCGGCTCTCCTTGCTCTCCCTCTCATACCGGAGTGTCAGTCTTGCAGCAGGAATGAATCTGTTTTGGCTTAGCGTTTAATCTCCGATTGCCATTCTGTGCCATAGTGATGAATTACCATCCTTGTTTACGTTGCTTTATTTTTCCAAAGGATGTGAACACTTCAGGAGAGACAAACCATAAATGCGGAAGGTGGGAAAATCACAGTGCCGGTTCTGTTGGACCTCAGGGCAGCATTTGGATTTTTATGGCTCGATATGAACTCAAAACACAAATTTCTGAATTAAAGTATTCCAGCCACACAAGTTGATGTGGGTGCCCATATTTGACTCCTTATTCTAAAATCAAGAACAAATGTTCTCTGCCTCTTGAATAACTTCAATTTTGTTAATGGACCAAGAATTATGAAATATATATGGAAAGGTTACACTGCAACTGACCACAATGCAAAGAGGGACCACTAACCTTTCCTGATTTGGAAAGACTGCTCAATTTAAAGTCTAAAAAAAATGTAACCAGAACTTCCAACAAAGAGCTGAACAAAAGATTTGTCTCGGCTCGGCTCTCTGGCGCATGCAGCCATGTGTAATTTCCAATGAAAGCTTTTGCTGCCCTGTAACTGAAATCATTTAGCTCCCAGAGTTCTATGTTAATCATAGGCCTTTTTTATTTTTGCTGTGATGAGTGCACATCATTTCTACTGCAATCATCTCTAAATCTCCATGAAACGGCACAAAATGTCCTAAATGTACACAAATAATAAAAACCTTTCAGCTGTGATGGTTATAGAATGTTTACAGTATTTGCTTCTGTTCAGCTTTTTTGTTTTTCGCATTTATGTTTTAGATCATCAAACTAGGTTTAATTGTATAAGCTACAAAAAAAAGTGTGCCACTGTGTAAATTTTATAAAAAAAATTGCTTTTCATATAGTCATATAGTGAAATATTATACATTTGAAAATATTGTACCACCTGGCTCAATTCTAAAAATCTTAAATTATGTACTGTCTATCTCAACTTTTCCACTGTTGAACTTTTTATCCTTTTATGACTCCCAACAATAACTCAAGACCTGGAGCGTTATGTAATAGATGCTGCTTTTGTTTATTTATTTCAGAAAGTACAATCAGTCTCCTGTTCCTCGGGATCAGAATCACTTCCACAGCTTTGTGCACATGATTCTTCTTAAGCCCAAAAGGAGCCAGGAAAACAATTATCTGAACAAATTGAATGCATTTTCTTTTTCTCTGCAGGTGGCTGCCGCTGAATAAACATGAGTCACTGCCAGCTCAGATTTCCCTGAAGTGGATATTCTGCAGGTGGGCAGATAAATCCGTACACAGCTAAGATTTTTGATGAAATTATGACACGCTACAGAGCAAATCCTGTTTTGAGTTGCGATCTAAAAGATATTTATGTCTCGATTTTGCATGGCGACGTTGTTGGCAGGCTGCAGGTGACATCCACTTTTGAAGTGTTTTAACAGCAGACGCCCAGCAGCCTACAATTTTTGCATGTCAGCCGTTTAGCTGTCACTCTGAGTCGGGCCCAGTTAGAGAGAGCACAAGAAGCGAAAATGGTCGGTTACATTACAAACATGGCTGACAACCTCTCTGTCCTCGTGATGGATGTTACTCATGACATGTGCTACGTCTCATTGCATGTGGTGAAAAAGAAGTAAATAGAGCAAACTAAATAAGCAGACTGAGTGACATTTTTGAAAGACCAGTCATGACACTTTCCAAAAAGTAATGGAGCTCATTTATGGTAGTAACAGTGTAATTGGCTCAGCATTTGGTTGTAGGATTTCTCTTCTGTCTTTGGCAAAAGACCTCAAGCCATTTCTCCCACAGTGGCACACAGGTTTGCCTTTGCACGGCATCATAGCTCACAGAAACCAAACCCACACTAAGGTTTGTTGGTGGCCCAAAGTTCACTTTTGTTGGTCCATGTCAGAGTTTGATTGCTCATCCACACCTCCCTAAAGAAACCAGACTTTTTAGGCAAACGAACCATAGTCCCATTAAAGTGGACCAAACAGGGCTGATGTGAATGCACCTTAAAACAAGAAGCCAACATTCAATCACTTCAAGCAATCAACTGGAGAGAGGATTAGGTGAATGGTCTCTGCTTTACTCTTCAGTGATAATGCAAAAATGACAAATGGAAGAGATTCTTTAAAAGTCATTTCAGCATTGTCTGATAAGAATCTACTGTAATGAAATTTTCTTCCAGAGGCACTGGACTCAATTAGATTACACACAAAGATTATAAACCAAAGATTGTCTTTGTAAGGCAGTAAATCTGCACTGTTTATTAATTTATACTGTTGCTACCTAAAATAGTTTTTAGTGTATTTCTATTTTAGCAGTTATTTTCTAGTTCACTTTAGTTTTTCCTATCAGGGTCATTCTAGTTTCATTATGTGATGCAACTTATTTTGGTTGAGTTTGTCTTGTTCTCATTTCAGTCCCTCTTGTTATTTGTTTTTTAGTAATTTTGTGATCCCAGGTTCAGTTGATCTTATAGGTCTGAGTCTATGTCCGTCTTTCTTTTCTGATTCTAGCTAGGTTATTTCTTTCAGTCCCATCATGACAAACTGTGAGCCTATAGCATAACCTTAACTAATCCTATATTAATGCGGCTTCCCTACTGGGACTTGTAGTCATTTAGTCTCATCCTTTTTGGCTGAATCTGAAATATCTCGAGAACCGTTGAGTCTCATCGACCTCATCAGCGTGTCGGGCGCGCCCATAAACTCCTCAGACACCAAGTTTAGTCGTCTATGACCTACACTGTGAGTTTTTATTTATTTGGTGGCGTTTATCCTTTATCCGTAACCCCTTTTCTGCTGTTCTACATACAAAATTATTCTACAAAAAAACTCAGCAAATCTGCTGATATTGTGATGCGACCAGTGACATCATCCCTCAGCCAATCAGTGACTGACGGATGGAAATTGTGATGTCACTGTTCTCTATATGAACCGTGTGCGAATATGAACGTGCCTGTACCACGTGACTTTATTAGAGGCTTTAGTCTTACAAATGAGTCTCGTTAAAATGTGTGACAGATAAGTGTTTTGCCAACAATGACCTAAAATCTACATTTTAAATATGAATAATTCTCGCTATTGTTGAAATATAAACACTATGAATGTATTTGTACACTTGGAGGCAGATGTCGTCATTTCCACGTTAATAAATGTGCGTTGTGTGTCGTCACCAGCTTGATGACTCGAGATTAATCTTTGTGGCGTTCAGCTGGCGAATCTAAGTATAAAAATAATCAACTTTGTTTTCAGTCTCAGTCGAGTCCTGGGAGAATTGGACTGTTTAGTGGCTCAAAGCCCCAGTCTGTTCTCTATGTTAATTATGACTGTGAGCTGTTTACTGTGTCTGTTTGCTGCTCGGTGCTGAACTGCGGCGAGAATAGAAGCGTCTGCCCCGCTGAAAACATCTGGTGCCGCAACTGAAAGCAAAGCAAACGACTAGACTGGAAAGTTCAAGGTGGAAAACAAAGGAAGTTGACCAAAATGTTTTCTAAGTCTCAGTTTTAGTTATTTTGTTGTCGGTAAGTATAAAAACGTTTGTACGAAACATAACGTATTTTGTTTCTTTTTTCCATCCAGGTATCCAGTGCAGGGATCCTGCATCTTTTCTGGTGAGAAAACAATAAAAGCGTGACAGTATTAGCCAAAATGCACACATTGACTTTATTTGCAAATTTATGTAAGATTATGTACGACTTGGATGTATTTTTTTAAGCAAGCCAAAGAAAATACTGAAAAATAAAAATGTATAATTATAGCTTGTTTATTTATTTATTTTGTTCTTGATGAGGATTATGGGTTTCATGATTTGTGCACTTAAAAGTTTTTAAAAGAACTAATGTTTCACCAAAGGTTAATATCAAAATATATACATTTTGTCACTATGGTGAGTTTTAGCAGACTACAGTGACTGCAATGTCTTCCTCAGATTTTTGGATTTGATAAAGACGCAAAGACATCATGAAGTTACGTCGTTGTCTTGACATAACTTCTGCACAATGAGTTGATCTCAGGAAAGCTTTCGTAACTTTATTAAAGAACAGCAGCAAAAAATGAAAATAAACAAAACGTGTTCAAATGAATGACCCAACAAAATTAAGAATCTCAGGAATGATCATTTCAACAAGGTGTTGCACAATTCAGTGCGTTGAGGTTCCAACACCGAAATAATCAAAAAAGGCGACTTTTTTTCTAGCAGACCAAAAATGAACTAATCAGTCACTGCTGTGTTCAGGAGATTATTAATAATCGCAAAATAAATATCAAGTCTGAGAACTTAATATTGTAACAGATCGAATGTTATGTTCTTAATGTAATCTCTGCTCGGTTTGCCAGCAGGCGGTTTCCATGGAAACGGGTGTGCTTCAGCCAAAGAGAGAGAGTGAAAAGGTAGGAGTGGTTCTGAGTTGATCACCTGTTCAGGTTCATTTATCTTCGCTGTGGTTCATCACAGCCGCTGGAGTTTCTGAACATACAATAAACAACAAACTTGGACTAATTACCTCATTTCTCTGTGAATAAACGTCACAACAAACATCAAACACGGTGAGTTTGGGATGGAGAGAGGAACCAGTTTAGTCCCCAGCACTCTCAGCATCCGAGCTTCCTGTTCCGTCTCCTGCAGCGCCCCCTCTTGGGGGTGAGCTCCGGGAGGACCAGCTTTAACCCCGCCTGATGGGGGTCCATGGTGGCGAAACACGGGCTACCCGACGAATTCGGCTGAGGCTTCTCTGGCTGTTTGGTCTACTCCGCCGGAGCCGGTTGGCTGCTGCCCGGCGGCTCCGTGTCGGGGGCCGTCACCCATCTGGGCCTCACCTAGAGTTTCCCCCCATTCGTCATCGCCCCCCTGATCAGACTTTCATGGGTTCATCCCTTTTTCACCCACAGGGGGCGCCCAGAGCTGACTTCCCGTACTGCTGCTGACCTCCTTCCAGGATCCCTCGGTTTGGCCCTTATTCATGACTGTATCAGAGCCCCATCAACTTGCAACACAAAGCTACTCCCTTGTGTTAAAGTCTCCAAATAGCCAGATCATTTGACAGAAGCATATGAATAATAAACACTACAATTACTACAGGCCTTCAGAGTAGTAACCTGTTGCTCAGGTCTAATAAAGCTAATAAAAATTTTAAAAAAGACAATGTTTCTTCTTACTGTTGATCAGTTACTACAAACAACAGTTGGCATACAGTATTTTTCATTTTTTAGTAAAGTATTCTAAAGTAACCAGAGACTGTGTGCAAAAAGAGGCATCTTTGGAAACACGATGTTTGGACAAAAACTACTTTACTGAGCACTTTGAGGTGAAATCACTCAATCAGCTTTATTCGTATATTGTGCACAACACAGAGAACTTGTAGGACAATCAATAATGAAGAAGGTCTGGGTGAAAAAGCTCTGGCAGACAGAGACAACACTTGAGTTTTATACCAAGGATAAGGAATTCAAAACAAGGCGAGACAGTCTGTCTTCTCTCTTCGCATTGTAAGATGGCTGTTTACAGCACAGGCAGCTTCCTTCAAATCATCTGACTGGCACATTACATACGTCATGGGCAAACATGAACAACTGGGAACATGTCAAATTTAACTACACCTCCAGAAAGCAAGCTTTTCTCAATAGCACGAAGTAAAGTGAAGAACAAGGATTTTGATTTTTACCAAGCTAATTTTGTATTAAATATAGAGGAAACATCGGTTTATTCCTTCCGGTACGTCCTATTTTTATACATTTCAATATTATTTAAAAACTAAAACGGCCGACAGAAACACAGGCTGTCAGAAAAACTGGAAAACAATTCAATATTGAGTACAGCATCAATTAGTGACCATTGGCCCAAGTCAAAAAAGGATGAATTCATTTGAAAACTACTGAACATAACCCAACAAACAGACTTGGATCAGTCACAGAGTCCCTTCAGCTTGTTCTCTGAGAACTTTAGTGGTTATGTAAGGGAAGCCAGTGACGTCTGCCAGCTGTGGAGACGGGCAGCAGTCGGCCTGGATGAGTGGGAGAGCTGTGAAGCTGACTGGCTGCTAGCAAGAGAGGATGGTTGGCCAGTAAGGTCTAAATATTAAAAGTCACATCTGGCGTGTGTGTGAATCCATGTAGTTGATTGAAAATCTAATTCTGACTTCTACCATGAAGTGTTGACACAGTCTTGTCTTAATCTAATGTGAAGGGACCCCGAGGTTATTTTCTTCTTCATGTTTGCTTTTTGTCATTTTAGGACACACTGTGTTGTGTGTATTATGTTATATTTCATCTTGTCTCTAATTGCACCACCAATTGCAACAACTATTGTTTTTTAACTGTGCAACCCTACATTGACATTTGAAATACTAGAAATGTAAAACAAGAAACAGGTGAGTTTGTCACATTTTACACAACTTTAGTGCTGGAGATTATATGGGAAGCAAAGTAAAACATTTTATGATTATGCACATTTTCATTCTTTGCAGTTTGTTAAAATTCACAAAAACAAAGTAAAATTTCAACAGGCATTCAAGATGCTGCCATTTACATTCTTTTAGTGTATTGAATGTGTTTTTCCACATTTTCACATAAGTGAAAATGAGGAAGTTAAGTCTCACTACAGGAATAGCTGATATTGGGTTTTCTGCATGAACTTAATCTCAGTCTGACTCTGGTCTTGCAGAGACAACGTCCTGATGAATCGTCTTTAGTTTGTTGTAAACCACGTGATGCTTCTCTTTAGGTCTCTTATAAAACATGTTAAGATGTAGTTCATGGATTTTTTGTGCTATCAGCTCTTTTTTAATGGCAATGCACAGGATATCAACTCTTGCTTTGCTCTTCGTGTCATTACTTTTAACAAGTTTCAAATTAATTTGTATTTTGTCTTGAATGCAACACATTGGAGTAGCTTGTATTGAGCTGTCAGTCACGATTATTTTTCAGCTTCAAATATTTTTTTTATTTAGATTTTAAAAATAATTAAATAAATACATTTTTGAACAAACTTTATGGCCCCAGTCTGCATAGAAGTCTTCAGTCCGGGTCCTGGCACGGTGGTCTGCGTCCAAAAGACTTCGCCAAGTTTAAAGTGTGTCCTTCAGTCGAGCTCTGCACACAGAGCTTGGATCTTAATGTCACAGTACTAAAAATGATTTGTGAAAAAAAATGTGTTTTTATCTTTGGTATTATCTTTCTGCTTCTAAACACTGTGTTTTATTCTTCTCATAACTTGAAATCATAAAACACACTGAGGTTTAAACTCTCCCTTGTTTGATGCTAGATCCACGTCATCAGTTGGAACATGTTTGGACGTAGCGATTCTTTAGTGTAACCTCTCGAATCATGCTCAGATAGTCATATTTTTCTTGTAAGAAAACATATTTTTCTCCAGCACGCTGGCGGCTGCCAAACATTTCCTCTGCAGAACCTGAAGTGTTTTGTCGGTTCTGAAAATATCGACCTCTTTAATCTTCCCTCCTTTAGGAACTGATCTGGGATTCAGGTCGACGCTGGAAACCTTTCAATGGAATCCTAAGTTTTTCACCTACATTATTTATGACGGAGGATAGATTTTGTTATTAGAGAGGTGCCACAAGCTGAGGATATGGCTGCTGTCCAAAAGGTATCCTTGTTTGCTGTAGTCTGAGTGGCTTTTTAAGGATTCATGGGAGAAAGGGATGATGCTGAGAGGCACTGTTTGCTATTCGATTTGACCTTCAGATTTTGCCGAATCCCATTTGTTATGGGGCTAAATACCGATAGAGATGTATTTCAACGAAAACAGCACCCCAGCAAAACACACACACAACCACGCAGCAGTCCAATCCACTTAGAGTATAAGGCTCTTATGTAAAATTCTTCAATTATTCACCGACGTGCACACATTGTGCCGTGTGACATCTTCAATCAAACCAACTGCTGGTCGTGTTCTTGTGTCCAAGTGTACGGAGGTTTGTGGGAAACTGGGAAATTTTTCATGGTTTTCATGAGAGGAAGCATGAAATGATCATATGAATTTGTAATCTGAGAAAAGAGCAGGGAACATAGAGGTAAAAAATAAAAATCACAAAATAACCTAGAAAGCGAAGTCTGAACAGTTAGCACATTTTCACATGTGCATGAATAATTTCGGGTGTACCTGAAATGAGAGTCGACTTACCTCTGGGGGAAAAGGTGAACTGAATTATTCAGCTTCTTTCTTCACAAAAAGCTCATTTTATGCTTAAGACTAGCAATTAGCCAGTGGATTTTATTTCCAAGATAATATAAAGGCCCAAAATGGATGGAGCATGTTATCTGCTATGTGGAGAACATGTCACTGATAGTAGCTCATGCTCAATATACTCACTGGCAGACAAAACGATGCAGAACCAAACTATTAGTTTCCCTCAGCTCCTGCTCTGGATGACCTAAATATTTCAAAAGTGAGTTCAGATCGGTGTGAGTTTTTGGGGTTACCTCATTAAGTATTCAGTTTTTGCATGTTGGTGATGTTACAACGTACTTAGTATTTATCTTGAGAAAATGAAGTGATCATCAAGCTTTCACTCATTAGGTTGTACTCATTGAACCAAAGCTGTCGACGAAAATGTGTTTCATACTTGAACAAAAAAGTCAGAACAGCCGCGACCCTAAAAGCTGGTGTTCAACGTTTGGTTCAGGGAGACACAACTTGCAGCCATCCAACAGTTTTGCTACTCAAGGATATACATATACATACCTACTACCTCAAATGTGAGGTTTCACGTGGCTACTATAGCAGTATGGATTCTGGTTTGTCTTTGTTTCGTCATTTTGCCTCATCCTTCCCTCTCTTCCTTCAGCCGGTCCACCGCTCTTCGGCTGTGCTGGTTATTTAGCTCTATTTCTCCAAGAGGAGGACTTAGCATTGTTTACAAATTAGAATGAGGAATTATTGGCGCACCAACACGTTTAATCCTAACAGATACCGAGACAATATGAGGGATTTGGAGTGGGGAGGCAGAGGAGGCCAGAGGGAAACAAATCTGCTGCCTTTCTAAGCGTCATGTCTGAACATGACTCTGTTGGGTCTACGTTGAAACAAACTCTCAACTTCTGTCTGTTTGGAAAGACTGCAGTGATGAATTTGCCAAGTTTTGGGGGAACTTTCCTTCTCTCCCGGTTTTCTTGTTTAGTTTTTTTTTTTTTTTTTTTTTTTTTTTTTTGCATGTGTCTTTTGTATGTTTCTCCGACCCCAAGCTCCTTTTTGTCATCCTGGCTCTCATGCATAAAAGATGAGCATTTGCAAATACCTAGAACCGCGTGCATCAGTGGAGAAAAGCCTTCCATCCTACATCCTTACCTGCACCTTGTTTCCTGTCTTTTAAAAGCTTGTATTGAGAACTCCAAGCTGCTACGGTTTTAAAATAACCAAGAAAGTAGAGAAGTTGTGAATGTTCAGATTTCTAACCTACCAGATTTGTTTCAGGGTCATTAGTTTTATGAATAAAAGCAATTTGCATGGATTTTTATACCAAAGATGAAAATGACAGGTTTCATTTAGCTGGACCAAATGAGTTCAGCCACTTAATACATATAGTCAGAGCTGTCAGAGGTATGTGTATAAAAAAGCCCATATATTTCACTTTAATGGCTTCCATGTCTGTACAGTTGACTAATATGTGATAAACTCTATTAAATTAAAATCATTAATCATGTTATTGGAACATAAAAATATGCTTGTGCCTTTATGAACCTGAATGTAAAGTGGAATTAACAGCAGTAACGTATCAGGGTTTTTTTTGTACTTTTCAGAAATGCTTTGATCCAAAATGTCTGGGTGCTGATTCAGTCTCAATATTTACATTTAAGCAATTTCAAAAGATTTGTGTTTTTCAGGACGAAACCACATAGACACTGACAACAGTAAGAAAACATTTTATATTTCCACGTATGTTCTTCCTATTATTTATTATTTACAAGCAAAATGATAAAGGCACACAAAAACGGTTTGGATCTCAGAGTTTGGTGGCATTTGAAGAGTGGAAGGAGAAACTGGTGGTGCATTTTGACTCCAGATGAGGTTCCACTAGGAACAAAGCAGATTGTGTGTGTG